GGGGAATGGGGGAAGGTACTTTTGTCAAGTGCATCTTCGTTCTTCTCGCTCTCTTTCCCGCCGCCTGCTGCGGAGTTCAGTTTGTCTGAGATGCCGCCGAACATTTCTCCGTCGGTGTTCTTGTCTTGAGATTGAGATTGGGTGTTGGCTTGACCTTGGCCTTGGCCTTCGCCTTGTTGGTTTTGGTCCTTGCTGCCACCGGTGAACTTGTTGACGAAATCCATGATGTGTGTCTGGTTGTTTATTTGCGTGTAGGGTACTTGTTTGTTGAGCGTGTGCGTGGGTGAGAGAGAGAGAAAATGAGTTTGGAGTTTGTATGTTTGTAGGGGAAGATCGGGGATGGAGTTGGAAGGTTGAGTTGAGCTGATGGGTATAAATAGAGGAGGGGTTCGTGAGACGCGGGCGGCTGCTGCCAAGTATGAATTCAACACTAGATTGACGTACGCCAAGGTAGAGGCGCAAGTGCAGGTAAGGTTTGACCTGTCGTGATTGGGAGGGAAGTGAGAACATTAACCAACATTGTTTCGATATATACAACTACTTCTTGGGTTATTGGATGGTGCTTCGTATCAAATTAAGCGTGGACTGTGTTTTGTTCCTGTTGCAATGTCGGCTGGCATATGTCACAATTCCTCAATAAATGAGTACATCTACTAATTGAGTAGGATTCAGATTCAAGGAATAATCAGTTCTAACCCTCTAAAATGTGTCCGTTCTTTCAATAAATAGTATTCTATGTTCTATCAAGGCTTAGTCTCAGACAAGCGTCTTCACAGTCCACCACAAAAATCCAACCTTCACCACGAAGACTTCTAAATCCAATATCTCAACCCACCCTAACGCGATCCTGTCCGCGAGGTACACCTTGCCTACTCCCCGTATATAGTCCAAGCGCTGGGCTGATGTGCCGACTTTCAGGATGAATCGTTCGAGTTCCGAGGTCCTGTTGTTGTCCTTTATCTCAGGCAGAGCTCCGACCATGTTATTCGCAGTTTCAGACTTTGTTTCGCAGTTCTGAATTACGCCCGCATCTGTACGAAGATTGCGAAGAAAATAAAACGACAATCTTTCCCAGAAAGAAGAAAAGGTTGGAGGAGTCGAGCTTTTCAGCTGAGCAGCTGCAAGTTTTAAGACCAGCTCAGGATTCGAGAGTGAAATCGTAGAGTTTAGAAGATGAGATTCTAAAATAAGAGCGTGTAGGCAAGACGGATACTTGACATATCGTGAGTAGAACAGTGGAGTCAAAACTCTTAGTTCTAATTCCTTCACTTCGTTTTCTGATACAAGCTGTACGGAAGGAGAAGTCATCACTTCTCTGGATGTGTCAACCGACCCAGCAGGTATATACGACAATTTCATAGGCACTGGGCTATGGTGGATAAAATATTGCAGATATCGACGAAATATCCCCTCAATGAAAACTTCGATCTCAATCGCCTGCCGAGGCAGCGTATCTTTTCTTGGCTCTGGTCTAAAGGCCCAAGGCAGTTTTTTTTTGAACAAGATAATCAATGCTTGGACGATGGTACGTGGGAAGGTAGAAAAACCCACCCAACACCAGCTGGCTAGGAATTTCAACTTTTGCAGTACGGACATCGAAGACGGGTCGAAGGCTGGCTCAGTGGAGAACACTCGAGCGATGAGCTTTGGTTTCCCAGAGGATGAGGAGAGAGTGATTGTGGTGTTAATGATGGGATCCATACCGCTCATGTTGGGGAATAAGGAATCAGTTGTATTCAAGAAGTAAGATCCAGCGCGAGAATTAAAGACGGAAACGTAAAAGTCTTTCGGCCAGGATTGGGAGAATTTTGGACTATCAGTGATTTCGATTGATGGCGTTTGATTCGTTTTGGGACGCAAGAAGTATCTATGTTTCTCGTCAAAGGTATTGCCTACTTCTAGAATGGTAGCTTTAAGTTCCTTGGTGGAGCTGTAGAGATTCCAAAATGAGACCGGGTTGGAAGCGTAATTTAGGAAGCGGGCAGCCGTAAAGAGGTAGGCGTGGGCAAACTCTGATGGATCGATACCCTGATGCACATAAGTAAGTCAACACAGGCATGAGAGGGTACTAACCTGGCTGTGGAGATAGTTTTGCAGTTTCTCTTTAAGTCCTCCGTTTACATGACCCCTCTCGAGATAGTCATCCCCATCAACCGTGAACCAGGGACTGTACGGCTTCAAAGAGAATACTCTGCGATACCACGAGGTTGGTTGATTCTCTATATCAGAGGATAACATGCCTCCTGTTGACCCTCCCCATCCTACAGGAACTCCAGCCAGTAGGTAAGAATATGAAAATGAGTGTTTCGTGGGAAACATCCTCGTGTGAGCTGTCCTGCAAGGAAAGAACATTGGCTTCGCTGGGAAGTCATCTGCTGGAGAGGAGCATGCGTTGAGTCCGGCATACAGCCTGAGAACTTGAACGGATATCCATAAAGTTGCGCTGGCTGCAATGATATGGGTGACGCTGGTGGGGTTGATACATGCGAGGAAATCTAAAATGGCATGTTGTTTTCTAATGAAGCTGAATAGAAAAAAGAGAAATAGGTCCGTGGATGTCCAAAAATAAGAGAATAGACCGAGGGGTATTAAGGCCGGGGAAAATGCAATGCTAAGCGCCATCTCTAGGTGCTTTGTGTTTGGTGATGATGATGTTGAATGGTATGAGCAGTTGAGTAAGTGTCATGAGCATTGGTATTGGTATCCCAGGGCAATGAATGGCATTATAGCAGTTCTCTTCTATCATGTCCTTTGAAGTGAAGATGGTCTATGATCATGTAGAAGAGAAAAGAGAAAGGATCTGTACATCAATCACAGGTTTCAAGTGAAGGTCGAAGAATGTTTTGTAATAATAATGGATTGCTGCAGAAGCCGACATGTACCAGGATATCCACCGTATCGGGTCTAGCGTCTGAATCACACGGCGAGAGCAAGCATGTTGATGCTCTTTGGCCACCACAGCCTTACCTTAAATTCCTTCCACCACCACCACCATCACCATCGCCATCACCCACAAACAACAATTACCTCCCGTCCGAACACGCAAACAACCTCCCGCCTTCACTCCCACCTATACGAACCACTCCCGCTACCTGCACCTCACCTCACCCACCTCACTACATCTCCACAGAAACCGCCAAGATGGATGACTGGGATACCGTTACAAAGATTGGAAGCAAGTCCCGCGGCGGCGGAACTTCCAAGGAGACCGTCGTACGCGGAAAATCTGCCCTGAATGCTGCTCAGCGCAGCGGAGCCGTTGTTGGGACCGAGAAGAAATTTGGCGCTGGTAACTCTGTATGTCCCACGCGCACCTTACCCCTCCATCTCTTCCATCTCTAACCCCGCCCCCACCAACTAACACCCAATAGGCATCCAAGCCCGGTGTCGAAGGCCAGCATCTGACCAAGGTCGACCGAAGTGATGATATCGTCAAGCCCAACACGGTCGGCAAGGAGGTCGGCAGTGTCATCTCGGACCAGCGCCAGAAGATGGAGCCGAAGATGACGCAGAAGGATCTGGCGACCAAGTGCAACACTACACAGAGCATTGTGGCGGATTTCGAGAGGGGGACGGCGACACCGGATCAGAAGGTTCTCGCGGCCATGGAGAAGGCATTGGGCATTAAGCTGAGGGGGAGTGATATTGGAGCGCCGAGATTTGGGCCTAAGAAGAAGTAGATGTGACATGGAGCATTGGATTGGATGTAGAAATCAAAATTGAGCGTTTGATGCGCTGGTTTTATGCCGGGCGGGGTTTATCATGCGTTTATGATCATAGAAGTCACTCGAGGCAGGCATAGAAGAAGCATGGTCAATGAATGCATCAAGCCATTGATTCTCTATTTACATGATTCGTTTTGCTCGTTTTGCTCGGTGTAAGCCAGGGTATCCAAAAACAGCCGTATATCATCATGAAGAAGCCACCCGTGCATCTCAAACAGCACGCTTCACACGCTCTTGAAGATCCGACTCCCCAAGTCTCTCGTCTCTGTTCACAACGAGGGCGTCCACCTTGCCCATCTTCACAATCTGCACCCATTCAGGAGCTATCTCAGAAGCCAACAATCGTACACAAGTCTCTCCTTCCTCCTTCGACATTGGTGTTTGGAATGAATCTCGCAGCTTACCAAGAAGAGCTGGAAGCGTGAAGGATATTCGTTGCTGACCAACCGAGCTTGATGTACTCAGGTGCGTCAACACAGCAGCCACCTCGTCGATTCGCTGCAATGCTGCTTTTCGAGCAAGCTCTTCTTTCGAAGGTGGCGGAGGTAGAGATGATTGGAGTTGTTGCTTGGCTCTTAATCGTTCCAGAAGTGATGGCTTCGCTCCGCTCTTGTAGACAATCTCCGCTTCCTGCGCCTTCTTTTTCTCTTCTTCCTTCTTGATTGTAATTCCGGCTCTCAAATCCTCCAGTCTCCGCTGTCCCTTGGCGAGCAAGGGGGACATGTTGAGAACAGAAGAGCACATTGTGATTGGTTCCAAAGGCAAACCACCAATAAACTCTGCTACGTCTGTATCCATACCATCCCTATCCTCCCATGATTTCTTCAATCCCTTAACAAATATCTCATTCAAAATATTCTCATTAACAGGTCTCGCAATGCGGCCTGGCTTGCCCGCCATAATTTTCATTTCAATGCATATTTTGCCATGGCCATAGTTCGAGAGTGAAAGCTGTGATATCCGATAATCGTTACGTCCTTCTGGAATGTTGCTGTTCAAAACACCAATAGTCCTACGAATGTCTTGAAGAGTAACACCACGTTTGCCCCATGCTCGAGCCACGTCTGGGCAGAGATTCCGCAGGTCTGCGGGTGAGTGCGTGCCATTATGCGCGTAGTGAATCGATAATGCAGTAAGGAATGCTGCATGTAGGTTTATGAGGTCCAATAACTCGGTCGGAAGGTCTTGAGGTTGTGGTGGAGAGGTATATGTATTGGAGGAGTCGAGGATAGAAGATTGGTTCTTGATAGGTGATCGGGTTGGGGTTTGGTTGGAGAGGAAGAGTCGGTCGAGGAGACTTCGGGCTCCTTTGGTGGGTGTGTTGATCGAAGGGGGAGATTGTCCGTTCAGGATTGGTTTCCGAGGTGTTTGGGGAACGCGTGATAAAGTGTTCGCTCGTCGCGGAGCCAGAGGCTTCACAATTCTGTCCTTGATAGCTGCAGACAGAAAGCTTGAAGCTTCCTCTGCAGCGCTTTCCTCGTCGCTGTCGTCCAGCCTTCTTTTCCTCTCCGCCGTAGAATGTATGCGTAATGGGGTAGTCGCAATGGCGTCGATATGATTGACTTTATCGATGATGGACTTGGGGATACTGCTACCCTTGGAAACCTTGGTGAACGCATCGATACCTCGGGTTTGACTTGCTGAGGAAGACGCGATCCTAGGCGCCGTTGACAGCTTCCGCCGTTTGTTGATGGCTGCGGGCATGGTGAAAGTATGCAATTGCTGCAGAAACTATAATACGAGCCTCTAATTGTACTGTATTGTGTGGAAGGTGGGAGTTGCTGGTTGTTCCTGTCAATGCTGCTGGTCGTGGTGGACGTAAGAGTGAAGCTTTGTAGAAGTTGAGTTTGTGAGGGGGTTGGGAGTCGCGATAGGACGCGTCGCGATTTCTCGCGTAGAGTGTTTTCGGTAAGCCCTATACCTGGTGTACTGACCCAATACTGTACAATGACGATTTTACATCCGTAACTACTCACTTCCCTATGTCCCTTGACATCCCAAACATCTTATAGCAGAAGGCTTCTTTCTCCTCGAAGAACAAACATCGTCGGGTCCCAGTCGCAGTCTCTGTCGCAGTCCCACTCCTAGCCCACTAATGATGTCTCACCGCTTCCTCGACGCCTTCCCAAGAGAGATCCGCGACCAGATCTACACCTATATCCTCACATCTTCCTCTTCTCCTTCGAACGCAGTCACCCTCTCGCCATGGACCTTCGAAGTCACCCGTTCCCTGAGTCTTCTACGGACATGCAAGCAGATCCAACGCGAGTGCAAAGAGATCATTTGGCGCCACAATGGACTTTATTTACGATGTCCAACAGAGATATTTACACGCTTCAGCAGTCTGATGGAAGTCGATGGCCTACGGCTACGGCGCATACGGCATATGGATATAGTCCTCGAATTACTTGATAAGGATGATCTGGAGTGGATCTTGAGCGGTCTCAAAGCCCTCGTACAATTGACTCACGTAGGGTCAGGGTCCCTGGAGTCCATAACCCTCCTTGCCATCCACGAGCGACCGCGCGGTGTCAACGAGTTCTTGGAGGAAATGCACTTGATGTGTTCTGGAGACTGGGTCGACGGTAGATTATTTGCAGCAATGCCTGACAACGATATTGAGACAACCTTGGTATTCAAATCCAGCTGGCCTCATTTCTCAAATTGGGGCAAGCAGAGGTGGTTGAGGGAAATGCTTCTGAATCGAAGTGATACAACAGCCTTGTTGAAGGAAATCCATACAATCTTTGGTGGGGAACTTCTCATTGATGGGTCTCTATTATTTAAAGACGGAGAGCAGGTCGCAAAGACGTCTAAGTTGAACCCCAGGGATGGAGAAATCAAGATTGTGCCCAGTCGTGTTCCATTGGCTGCACGGTCTTGGTAGTCCAAGTATCCCTAAATGTCGTGGGGACAAAATTATACTTATCATCAGCCTGAAACGGTATCTTGGGTAGCACCTGTACTTCTAGGCATAATCTTGTGAAGTTTTTCTTCAGAAGCAAATTAAGTACACGGGCTTTATCAATGTTCTGGAATAAGCAAGTTCTCTAATTATCGCGTCTTCTCGAATAGTCATTAAGCTTATTGTACTTCATTTCAATATATCAATTGATCAACTGGATGTTTCCTCCCTTTGAGACCTTAATTATATGCATACAAGCTGGTTCGTAGCATCTCTTTGCAGGGGGGCGTGAAGCGGGGTGCAGATAGGCGCATTCTCAAACTCAACGTCGGCCTGCGGATAGTGCTCAGCCATAAGTTGGTATTAGACACGACGGCAAGCCAAGGTTCATCGAGTAAGAGAAACAGTCAATTATTACCTATCGTTAAGTATCCCGGCGCACTAAGTACCCTCCAAATACCTCTCAAATCACGTGAACATGGATACCCCCCTATTCCTTTAGCGAGTTGTTTTAGTCGAGCTGGCAAATCAAGTTTATCAAGCTACTGCCAAATTTAACCATCTTGCCTATATATGTCGGGGCTTTTCACACTTGCCATTGCAGGGGAGATATTTCAGACCGGGAACTTTTTATTGTTACGATAACAACCGAATACTATGACCTCCGTGTCTAGTTATGGTACAAGGATTATTTCAGATGAGCAATCCTAGTGGGAGCTTTTAGAGCATGGATGAATATAGCCTTGCTCACGAGTTCTTGCCCTTTTAGACCTAGCGAGAAGTACTGACATAGAGACTGGCTAGTAGCCAACCAATGCAACAGAATAACAATATAAGTGTCACTCCTTTGGGTTGGTTACATTAAAGATTCACTTTTCATCAGTGACAGAAACGCTACAAAAGACATGCAACCATTACATATTCAAGTTCCTACCTCTTTACTATGCTATCCTTACGGTTTTACGGGTTCAACTTTGCTATATTGCAAGTCTTTCAAAAGGATACCGTGAGAACAATACAGTTCTTTTCGTTTTATATCTAAGCTGAAGTCCTAAGAACACGAAATTCAATTGCTATATATCTCGGAACCAAGGACACAACTTTGCAAGTTGTGTAAAACCAGCACAAGCATGTACCACTTTCTGCTTGTCAAAATGATGATGAGTATATTTGTGCCTCTATGAATTTAATTCTCTTAAATTGTGACAGCCCAGCTTTCCACCCATCCGGTGCACTCATAGTTCAACATGTGCCGGGGGGTCGTGAATTATTGTTTGTGCAGTAGTGTCTCTCAGCATTCGTGGATTTCGCACCTGGAGTTTAGCCCACTCAGCCGCTCCGACGGCTCCTACGTACAGAGGATCGATCGTATCCCGCACCTTGTCGGTAGATGCTGGTAGAACTTTAACAACAACATTGCGAATCCTGTGGAACGCTTGAATTGGCGCATCTCCGCTTAATACAATAGCGCGAAGATGTTCGTCAGCCAGATCCTCGGCATTCTGCGGATCAAAATGCTTCGCGACGAAGTTCTCAAATTCCTTACGTATCTCACCCCAATATACATCCATATCCTAAGAGTGAAGTCAGTTTAGACTCGAGTGGTCACAATTTGCAAATAACGGACTTTACTTGAAATTGCAGCTAGCCTGTTGGCCCCATAACCCTTCATGGTTTTCTTAGCAATCTCCCCAAAGATAAATTCGCCCACATCGGCGATATAAAACTCCAGGTATGCATCATTATAGTCAATGAAAAGAATCAAATGGGGTCCATCTTCAATATGGCACGTTAGTGAACTTATGCCAAATCCTTCACACGAGTTCAGATGATATGCTAGACGCATAGCATTATAGTATCGTCGAATCTGCCAGGGCCGCACCATACCAGGTTCAAGCTCCAAAGCGCAATTGACGAATGCGCGGCACGTGGTTTCGTTGAAATGTTGAGGAACGCTGATAGAGGTAAGATCAATGGAGGTATTTAACGCTTTGTCCCTGAATTCTTTCAAGGTTGATGTAATGATCATTTCTGCTTCAGGGTTGCCGTGCGTATCTGGCGATGATGGCAATAGTGATTCTCCATCACGGATGTACCATTCCCCATCTCGTTGTCTGAGATCTACTTAATGTTTGATACTTTTAACCAGGTCGGGTATCACTCACATTTTCACACCTTCATTAATAATAGAATTCTCAATCAAAGTTTGATATTCATCACTACCTACAACACTGGCTAGTGTGATCGGCTTGCCATCTTTTGTGATATATGCAGCTGTGCTGCGTAGTGTGTGTGAGATGTTTACATTCGTAGTAACTCTGATAAGTATCTACTCACATGTGACTTGGTCCAAAGTTGATTCCCAGTGCTGTTATGAATTTGTCAGACTGCAGTCTAAGAAAAAGATAGGATTCACCTAATAAACGTACGGTATGACTCCATTGCTGAACTGCCTAGGACTAGGTAGAATATCACCACCATGAAACCAAGCTGTGCTATTGGATTCATACTGAATTGAATATAGTATTGCTCGTGGAACTGTGGAAGTGAACAGTCGGCGTCGAGATGTAGTAATTATTAAGAGCCTATGAGCATTCCCTGGAGGCTATAGTATGCAATCATTTGGGCCGTTGTGCCGCCTTTTACTTTTATAGAATATATTTATAATTAGCTTCTAGAGTATGTACAATTATGTAACAGCAGCCTCCTGATCCTACTAGGGATTCTGGGGTTCTCACCGATCCCGGCAGGCAACACTTAATACAAATACGCAGTGTGGGGCTAGTGCTATGGATTAGCTCATATGATATTTTATCCAGTTGGTTGGTACCAAGTCTTGAAACATACTATTATATCCAATCTCCCAATATCACGAAACTAAACGATTGTTCATAGAAGACCATGCCCCTTCGTGGCACAATTTAGTATGCAAAGCCCAGGCGGTATTGCTTTCTCTCTCACCTGATTTAGTTATTTTGCCTATAATAGTTGTCGGTCCTTCCTTCTTCGCTTCTTCGTTCTTCGCTCCCCTCGCTTATATTTATGGAATGTCCGAGGCAAGCGAACATAAAGCGGGACATTAGGCAACAGAACGTACCTAGGTAAAAACAATGCTATATTAACTTTAAATAGACGCCGCATAGGCTATTGGCTTGGATTAGACTATACATAAAACCCATAAAACAAGTAGGTAAGCGAGCGTCCTAGAATGCAATTTATCTAGTTATATACTAAAAGTCAATTTCCACGCTTATTCTATAGCTTTTCTTACTAAGCAAGTATTGTAAACTAATGCCTTTTATAGATTATTAGCTATCTAGGTATATAAGACATTTAAATTTTATGCTAAGCTAGTATAAAATCTTACCTATGAATCTATATGCCAGCTATAAGTTTTTAACCTGTGCATTGAAAGTATAGCAGAATTATATAAGTCTAAAGTCTAAACAGTTGGATGAAAATAGTGCTAGTTTAGTAGTAGGATATTCGCTTCCCTAGGACGTTCGCTTCCCCTGACTATAAGCGAAGCAAGCGAAGAAGGAACCGAGTATTAGAGGACTGTTCCTTGAACCTATGTCCTCTGAGGTCAAAGAGATTGGTCTTCGCAGCAGTAATGCGACATATGAATTAAAATGAAACGCACCTATAAGGATGCCTTGGAAAAATGTTCCTTCCCAAATTAACTCGATCCTAAAACTTAATATAATTTGTTTCGTCAACCAATAACAATTAGCTACCTAGGTATTTGTCCATTAAACAACTGCTCGACTAATTGAAGAACATACTAAGGAAAGCAATAGCAGATGTCTAGAATTCTACTATAAAAACTTCTCCCTGCACCCCAGTTTGACAAGTTGGCATCAACGTTCATCTTGTATTACTAGTCCTAAATTGCTGAGACATAGGCAACTCAATATGAGTATCTTCTTGAAATTGATGGCGTATTGCGCCTTTGCTACTGTAGCAATTGGGTCACCTCTAAGCATTCAAACACCCTCTCTAGAGCCCGCATCGAAGAACGATCTTACGAAAAGAGCTGATATTGTTGCAGTCAGACAGGCATACCGAGGTATTCATTGGGATGATGCTTTGGATCAGTGTGGCCAGACTCGATTTGACATTCTTGTTGAAAGCACCCGAATGGCCATAGAGGTTACCAATTATCAGATTGGACTTCAGGAATATGATAGCGCTGCCTGGCATCGATACTTTGTGAGGGACTGGAAGACAAATCCTAGTTATGGATGGCATGTAAGTTATCGGAGCAAGTAATCATTCAATTTCTCTTCTGACTATTATTAGAGCCGAGAGAATCAAGATACATTCCTGAACATTCGCAGTAGGTAGACGAGATATATTCGCACCCAAGACATCTATCTAATCTATTTCAACCAGATAACATTCGCCAAGTTGCACAATTTCCCAAAAAAGGCAAGAAGGACAGGAAAGGAAACTGGTCGCGTGCCAGGCAGACCTCTTATCGTTGCCAAGAAGTTCCAAATTTCAACCGGTGCAACAAAACTGTAGATGAATACGGTAGATGGGGAGGACCGTAAGTTCTATGCTATATCTATATCACTCGACGATGCCGTTTCTGACATACAACTAAACAGATCAGCCTATACCGCACTTCCTATAGAAAATCCCGAGGGTAACTTTCTCTGAGATGTTTCTTCATGCGTTATTGATTGCTAATCTCTGATACTAGGCTATGCTGTTGTCTTTTGTCCCCGCTTCTTCCTAGATGGAAGAGCGAGATATATTAACGACATTACTAAGGGCACTCAAAAAAAACTATCTGAAATGGGCACACTCATTTCATATGAGTATATGATTATTCATGAGTGGATGCACAATGATCTTTTTGGCTATAGGTTTCATAGTAAGTTACGGAGGTAGAATCCAGAAGCGTTGAGTATTAATTTCACAATGTGCTAATAACATTGGTATTGTTAGTGGAAGACGTCCAGGCAAATATTCCT